CCCGCCCCCGCCCAGCCGCCCGCCTCAGTTCGCGCCGCGCCTCGGCTCCGAGCGCAGCGGCGCCGGCTCCGGGAGCGCCGCGGAGCCCCTGCGTGCGGCCGCGCCGGCGATGCGGGGCCACCCCGCGCCCACCCCAGTCCCGGCCCCGGCCCCGGCCCCCTCGGGAAGGGGCTGAGCCGCCCGCCGCCGCCGCCCGGATGGCGAGCCTCGCCGCGCTCGCCCTCAGCCTGCTCCTGCGGCTGCAGCTGCCGCCGCTGCCCGGCGCCTGGGCACAGAGCGCCGCAGGTGAGTGCGCCCGCCGGGCCCCGCTCCCTCCCCGGCGCGCCCGGCGCCGCCGCGGGGGCCCTCGGGGAAGAAAGTTGTGCGGGCTCGCGGGGGGCGCGTCCCGAAGGCCGAAGCCGGGTCCCCGCCGCCGGCGCGGACAGCCGCGCCCGGGCCCGCGCGTCCCCCCCCCCCCGCCCCGGGCAGCCCCGGTTTGGCGAAGTTCCCCGCCCGACTTTCCTGGCGGCCCCCGGGCTGGAGTAACTTTCGCGGTTGTTGCGAATGTCTCCACTTGCTGCCTCCCACTTGTCGGAATCTGTCACTTGAGTGTTTGGGGCGGCGAGACGAGAAACGGCATCGACGCCCGGGGTGGAGCGTTCGCTTTCCGCAGCTTCTGGGGCAGCGCGCGCTTTTCGGGAGGAGACCTGGTCGCCAGCAGGCCGAGGCTGCCGGGGCGGTGGCTTTTCTTTTCTCCAGGGAGAGACGGCAAGCTCCAGACTTTGCTCTGAATACGCCGCGCCCCTCAGCTAGTCCTCGAGCAGTCCGCTGAAGGCACCGTGGGGGTGTTGATGTTAACGACCGAGACAGCACTACCTCCTTCCCAGCCCGTGGTTTTTAGCCGGAGTGTATGGGCGCCCCAGTAAAGGCCCTTCAAGCTGAGCGGCTTCGACCATCGAGCCTGTTTGTTTCTGAAAAGTTTTTTTTTGGGGGGGAAGGGGGGACACTCATGTTCGGTTTGGCCATAGGAAGGAGGTGAGCAGAGGTAGTTCTCAGTGTTGGGGGGCTGGTGTGCTCCTAATGGTAGGTTGGCACGCACAGAAGACCACCACCATCCTGGGTCTTGCACTTCACCAGACCCCACTGCAGGCAGCTTCCAGCCCCGAGCCCCCAAAGAGTGGGCGGTAGGTGGAGGGAGAGAAGGGCAGGAGTGGCGCAGGTATGCTTCCAAGTTCAACATCACCTTGAAGTTTCTTACCACCGATTGGCTTTGGTGTGACCACACGGAGAGGAGATTGTTGGGATCACAGGGACACGCCGAGAGGAACCAGTGAGATTTAGGAAAAGATCAGTTTCGGATTGCTAAGTAACAGCGGTGCCCGTGTATTATCACGAAGAAGCAAAGAAAGAAAGAGAAGGGAAAGAAGCAAGCTGCGGTGGAGTGTAACCTCTTTAAACAGACTGCTTTTGAGGTTAGGAGCCGCTGGAGTGACGTTCCAGTGGAAACGCACTGGCGTGTCTCTCTTGCGCCATACCAAAATGGGAACCGAGTATGGGACTTTGGAAAGGGACAGCCTGTTTCTGTGGCTGGGAAGTTAGATGACTAGGGCACTTCTTTTGCGGTGTTCGTGAAGCTGAAAGGTTGGATTAGCAAGTGAGAGAAGAAGGACAGGCACAACGCCCTCCTAAAGATGGTGTACAATTCTTGCTCTCGTTTGGGGTCTGTATTAGGTGTGCTAAAGAGGGGAGAGGAGGACGCTGGGGGCAGTCCTGGGGACAAGGGCGTGATTTGTGACTTAAGTTTTTACTTTCCTCCAAGGCCTGGCCGGCCTGCCACACATTAACAGTACTCACGTTTCCGCGGCGAAAAAAACCCACCCAAAACCAACCCCCCCCCCCACCCCGGATTAAAAATATTCTACCGCCGTTCTTGGGCAGCATGCGGTAAAACCCTGCCGGATTGGGGAAGCTGTCCAATGCAGAAAGCACGCGGGGTGCGATGCTCCCGCCAGGTGGCGCTCGCCCACAACTGTTAAAATGCAAATCTAGTTGCTTTCATCTCAGGAATAGAACTTCTTTTCAAATTTTAAATGAGTCATGTGTTTATTCAGCAGCCTTTTGTTAAAACATTTAGAGAAGTGTGAGGAGCAGGCACCTTTTCTTTGTTTGCTCTTTGGGAACACACGGGAAAGAAAAGCAATCCAGGAGTACGGTTTGGGAAGAAATCTACTCTTAAGGTTCCATATGTTTCTTTTGGTTCTACCTGAGCAGAGTGGCTTCTGCAAACCTACTACAGCATATATTTAGCAAGTGACTGTGTTTGTTCCGGGGGCTCTTTAAACATGTGAGACTAGCTTGTGTGCAAGAGAGCCTCGTTAATTTGTAAAAATGGTGATTTTCTGTATATATCTATTATCTAAGATGCTAACATCTTAGACCATTTAGATTTTTTTTTTTTTTTTGCGGAATTCTTCACAAACATCTACATTTGTAGATGCAGGGATTCTGCAAGTGTTGATTTTTTAAAGTGGACTTACCCTCTTACTTTATTTCTAAATGCTGAAATTGTTGGAATCCAAATCCAGTACAAATATGACAATGTCTTGATTTCCTTTAAAGTATCTTATTTAAAACTTTTGGCAAGTTTGGGTAAATAATACGTTTCAAAACTCGGTGGTGTGCTCTCCATATTCTTTTAATCTGAAAATTCCCAGTCTTAAAAGCACTTTAAATTTGTAAGCTTTCATCTAGTGCACAGTTAGGGTGATGTGTTTTGCTGTAACATGTTGGTCACTGTGTCCAAAAGTCAGTGTCAAGAGCTTGTCATCAGAAGGCAGTTTCCTTCTTCCTACTCTAAGATGTGTTTTATGAGCCAGGGTGATGCTTGTAAAGAATGATAGTAAAAAAGCATTTGAAATCAGCTTGTTGAGAGTGTGGCAAAACATCATTTGGGATAGGGCAAGAGAGAAACAAACAAACAGATAAGGGGATAGTCAGTCCATTTTCTAGGGGATTTCAGCATCTGTACATTGAGAGCAGAAATGGATCATAGAGGGGACCGACTTGAGATTGCAGTTGTTAGCGATGTAGTCATTTAACTCGATACTCGTTGCCGGTTATCTCTGGGGAGCTGTTAGCAGTACAGTCAAATTTTATTTTCTCTCCTGGATTGTTTGATTTCTTTCCTAATAAAATAATTAATGTGCAAAGCTGGCTTGGATTCTGTTTCCGCAACAATCACAAACACATCACAGTGAAAGCAGACCACTTTCTTGGGTAAAAGCCTGCTACCTTTCTGCTCTATCCCATTTCTTCTTGCTGGTCCCTAGCGCAGCGCTTGCAGGCTGGGGCTGCCATCTGTGACAACCTCCGAGGGAGCAGTGTAACTGTCACCTTTCAGAGCCACGATCACAGGACGGTACAGCATCGTTCCTTTAAGCACGGGATACTCCCGTGACTCTCTTGACAGCATGTTGCTTTGGAAACAAGAGCAATGGCATGTAGGCGGTGGGTCCTTCATAAATATTTATTGATGATGATGAAGAGATGGTAGAGTCTGTGGCAACTCTGATGGGGGCCTGGGGAGTTTAGCTTGGGAGGCAGCCTGACTTAGGGAAACGAGTAAGAGCTTTGGAGTCTGAAGTCCTCCCTTTGAATGCCACTCTGCCTCTTTCCAGCCATGCCAGCTTGGGAATGTCATTTACCTTCTCTGATCCCCAGGTTCTCATCTGTAAAGTGAGGATAATTGTAGCTGCCTCATTGGATTTTGTGAAGACTAAAGATGATGTATGCAGAGTGAGTGAGTAGTTGGCCCGTGCACAGTAGTGCTTTATCCTAAAGGGGAGCCTGGTCTGTTACTTGTCTTGGCATTGGTGTGAGGACACAGGTCAAGGGGGCATTGATGTTAAGCTCAGTTAAGAGTGGAAAATTAGATGGCTGGGTTTTGGTGATGATTTTTAATTTTTCTTGGGGGCGGGGGGGGACTGGATTCCCTGCAACTGATTTTATTTTATTTAATTTTCGGGGGTGGGGGGAGAGGGAGAGAGAATCTCAAGGAGGCTCCACGCCCAGTGTGGGGCATGACTCGGGTCTTGATCTCACAGCCCTGAGATCATGACCTGAGTTGAAATCAAGAGTCGGATACTTAACCGACTGAGCCACCCAGGTGCCCCTGCAACTGCTTTTAGAGAGATTTAGTACAAAACAGCTGACTCTGGTATATTTGGGCATTCAAAAGTTCAGATAGGGAATGTTTAGTTTTAAGCACATTTTACCTTCTAAATGAGAACTGATAAAAACCCAGATGGTTACACATTGTAACAGGAAAGTGTTTGGGAGTATCTTCTCTCCCTTCCTACCCCCTCCCTCATCCACTCTTCCTTGCCTCAGGGCTCTGTCCCCTGCTCCATGTGCATCTCTTACCTAACCTAGAAATCCAGTACCTGGCGCTCTGGGGGCAGTGGGAGGATGGGAGATACTTTGTGCACTTGATAAGCAAGCAAAGAATAAGTAAACATAGAGAGGGCTGTGGCATTCCAATAACAACAACAAAAAAAGCTTTGAGATTATTGAAAACAAACCATGTCCAACAAGTGTAATAACATTTGCAAGCACATTACCGAATTGGGGCTAGGAGGCAACACCATGTAGATATTAGCAAACACAGTGTCTCATGAAATCTTATAAAATGGATTCAGATTGGTTGGCAGAGGAAGACAACCGTGGCTTTTTTTTTTTTTAATGGATTAATAACAATCAGATGCAGTGGTGATTGATGGTGTCCATTTGGGCCAGGGTGGCAAGTTGGGGTCATGGGATTTAGCATTTGATGTGGTCTTGCTGGACACTCTTTTTGCCTGAGAGATGGGGAAATGAAGATGATAATGCCATTTATTTATTATTGGGAGGAGTTGTAGCTTCTAAAGATGATACAGAGGGACTCAGGGAGTATTCTAGGCATAGATCCTAAGGGACCTTCTAGAAGTCAACTGTGAAAAATGGGAACTTGGGGAAAATGGGAAAATGTGTCAAAAAGGCAAAGTGGGGAAAAGATGAGAGGAGCCATTCAGGAATGATGATCATTTGGTCGGTTTTATCCCAAAATGTCAGCGTTATTTCCCTTGGCCTACCACAGTTATCTGCACAGGCAAGAGCTCCTCAGAAGCCTTACTAGATCCACCGCCTGACTGGCAGGTAACTAGTAAACTGAAGGTAACTAATAAATTGAAGTCCACAGTGTTACAGACTTATTAATTTTTTTTCACACTGGAGTCAGGCTGCTGAAGAATGTCACACACACACACACA